GCCTTACATATAGATATAAAAATAGCCTTAAAAGGACACTTTTCTCTAAACTAAAAAATAGGACTAGTCGGGACAAATTTTCATATCTAATTTATGAAATTAAATGCTCCGATTGTGGCGGGAATTACATTGGGCAAGCATCGCAGTACTTATATAGAAGGCTCACAAATACAGCGTAGACAATAAAAAAGAAGAGACGGCTTTAGCCAGCCATGCTTTTAGAAAGGAGCATACATTTGATTTTGACAACGTGAAAGTTGTAGATAACGAAAATAATCAACAAAAAAGTAATCAAAAAAGCTTTGCAGGTAGATGATAAATTTTACATTAATTTTAACCAAAATGCTATGTTATAAAATATATATATATATATATATATATATATATATATATATATATATATATAAGAGTTTGGACTATAAGTGATGGTTGTTAAATTAATGTGTTTTATAAGGATGTATTTTGAAATATAACAACTGAATGAAAATTAGTTGCAGGATCTTGAAAATGGCTCCTGCAACCGAAACGTCGAATAAATAATACAGGATGTAAAAACTGTGTACATTTGGTGACCTTTGGCCTAACATTTTATAAAAACTGTATATATATATATATATATATATATATATATATATATATATACATACATACTGAATTTTTTTTTAAATAACTAAATAAAATAAAATAACAAGGTAATAAATTCATTAGAAAAAGCTCGAAGGAATATATACCTTCCATTCCCAACTAAACTCAGTGGATACACTGCCATTCCACAAGTAATATCACTAAATTAAGCATAAAGCAAAAAAAAGATACATAAGGAAATTATGTTATAAATGGAAAAATCCAAACTACAAAGCAATAAGTCTCCAAACATATACGAATTGTTAATTAGCCAACGTTTCGACAATCCAAATATCATTAGAGCAGTAAAACCAGTGAGTTTGGTTGGGAATGCATGTAGTATATACCTTCGAGATTTTTCTTCTGAATTTATTAACTAGCTATTTTATTTAGTTTAATACGTTTTGTATTATTATATTTTAGTTATTTATATATTTTTTCTTTCTCGTATCTCTGCTAATCAGCTGTTTAATATAACCTTCCTTAGCTGTCTTAATACGAGGCTGTTTGTTCGTAGAACATTCGAGATCTTTCAGTATGTATTTGGATGGCTTCCTGAGATGTCTACAGCAATTTTTTTTTATCATATTCTTTTTCATTTTGTTTCTGCATATAAGTGATATTTTATCATCCCTGATGATGCCTGAATTGGCAAGTTAAATATTCGCCTGTATGGTGGTGACTCATGGCTTTTTAGTTTATATTTTTCCATTTATATATAAGATTAATAGTCATTTAAAAGGGGGAAGCAATTATTTGTCTAGAGCATAATCGATGTGATTAGATTAATATTCTAACATGTCCAATTATACTGACGTTTAATATTTTTTTTATTATAAATGGTAACATAAATTGTATTGGGAATCCTTTAATTTAAAATCAATATGTGTGAGGTTAATGAAGAGGACTGAGCTATGGGACAAGGCGATCACAGGTGTCGAGGACGAAGGATAACTAAATGAAGCAGTTCATTAGGAGAGCAGAGCGAGGAAGGATAAATAGAAATAAAAAAAGAAGGATAAGAAAAAAGGAGAAGAGGAGATACTTACCCTCAAGAATTTGTTGAGAGTTGAGCTGTGTAGGTAATAAGGTGTGATCCTTTCCTCTGTTTGCTTCTCACAAATTGGCCCCTGGTCTCCTCGCTCAGGATGGATCATTCTGCTCCGCCTCACCGAGCTCTCTCCTCCACCTCACCTTTTATATTTTATAGTCAATATAAAAAACGTCTATTACAGCTTCCTCACCAAATTCACCGACATTTTCAATCAGTTAGATCAAAAGTAATTCAAGAAGAAATAAAAGTATATGAACGAAGTTAACAAAATACAGCAAATGAAGGTCTATACATATTTAAAACTTATGGATGAATTATAACTAGTTTGAAAACATATGGAATAAAGCCAATTACAACTTTTGAAGTTTGAGAGGGAAATCAAGACCAGAACCACCCGGTTGAACTTCAAAAGGAACAAACTCCTAACAAAAGGAACCTAAATATGACGTTATTGTTTTAAAATTTGTGCAAAATTTAATTTAAATTTACAAATATACGGTACATATAGTAAAGGAAAATCGCAGGCCTAAGCGAAAGCTGGTGAAGGGATTCGGGAAAATATATATTCCTATAAGTTTTAACTGAAAATTACACATTTTTTTTAAGGGCAGTAGGTGTAAACGACAAATACCAGTAATATGTAAACGACAGAACAATAAACATAACATCCCTTTCACCTGATCTATGCTTTCCACATTTCACAGCCATTATATTTTGACAAGTTATTTATATTCATTTTTTGTTTTCTTTTCCTCGGCTCAAGACCCCTAATGAACTCTCTATACTGCCCTATATTAGTTTTAATTGTTGAATAGAATTCAATGAAATTGATACTAGAGAATTTCTACACAATTCTCCGCAATTCCGTGTTTATAGGTTTCTATAGTCTATAGTTATCTATAGGCTTAAAAATATAGCTGTGTTAAAAACAATACGTTTTCAGATTCGAAAACGGAAATGTTTTATGAAAGTAGGGGATAATAATACACTGATATATTTAGTTTAATCAAAATCGTTGGAGCCGTTTTTGAGAAAATCGTAAACATGTGTTAAATCGATTATATAAAATACCACATCCGATTTGCCGATTTTGACGAAAATGTTGCTGTAACATCGAAAGCTTATAAAAATCTTAAATACGCAATTTCTCTTTCACACGGCATTTTGAGCTAGACTGATAAGATACATACACACAGGCCATTTTGCGGGACTTGGTTATTTGGACCTAAGAGACCTGAAAACGTTTATTTTCATTGAAAACTTAAGCAGCTTATCATCCATATCAATAAATTAGTCATTATTACATTTCATTAAATGGAAAAAACAATTGGCGGTTGAATTGATAAAATTCTATTAAATTATATCTCCTAAGCTTTAAGGAAACAAGTCAAGTAATTTTCATCAATTTCAAATTAAAAAAGAAAGAAGAAAATTTTAACATCATTGATAGATCTCTGTTCAGCAGTTTTTCACGTTTGTTACGATAATGGTAGCTTTTGTGATTGCGATGACTAAATTTTAAATTATTAATGAATAGATCAATAAATTAATGAATAGTAATTCGGTTTATTTTTTTAAAAGTAATCTAAAGTGATCTGTTAATTAAATAACGTTTTGTTTATTTATTAATAATAATGTTTATAAAAAACGTCTATAAAATCACATTAAGATTAAAAACCAAAACAATTTTCCATTGTCTCTATGTTCGCTGTCAATCTCATCTTTTATATTCTTAACAATTTTAATTATTAAAATAAAATAAAATTGATACATTTGTATATTACACCTGAATTTTCTCCAGTTTTGGCCAAAATCGAATATGCTATTTTTTTTTTTTTAATATAAGCATGGCGATGAAAATACTTACAATAATACCCAAAAATAGGAGATGGAATTTGATATAATTGATACCTAGCCATTTTTCCCTAATTCCTAAACGAACTTTTACCTTAATTCTTATCTATCGGCATTACATTATATGTATTCCCATCCGGAAGGAGAAATGGAACCATCTAGGTATCAATACAGTAAAATCGGATTAATTGTAGTAGTTGATATACTGTTACATGAATGTGACTACAGAAAGACATGAATCTAAATTTTAGGAGTTCTTTAATGTTCTCGAGCTTAGCGATACTGTTTCGAATCCAGTTTGGGCGGGTCGAAAATTATTTTGTGGCAAAATGCAGATCCACAAATGAATCTCGATATTTTCACTCTGGTTAAAATAGGTTTGTTAGTACCACTACAACGACCTATCCCCTCCGCATATGCGAGGAACACCAAATGTGTTCCTTAGAACGTAAAACGTGAGTCCAAAATTTTGATTCTGATTACAAATTCATTATATCTGCCGCACGAATTATATCCGGTAGTGAGAAAGAATTATTTGATATTCAGACGTATTTGGATTTTTTACAGTGGTCCTCTTCAATTTGGGAGCAGTTTAATTTTGTGAAATACGTACGTCATATAAAATAAATTAAGAGATATTGATATTGATCAATATTGATATCAATGCTTATTCAATTTTCAATATCTTTATTCATTAACATTTATTTTCTTTATCTGTTAACGTACTAATCAAATGTAATCTTTATTAGTTTGTTATACACTCATTCCTTATCTTTTATCGCAATCTATTTACTTTTAACTTATATGCTATATTCTCCTTGGTTTTCTATTTTCATTCATAGTTATTTTCTATTTTTGTTTGTGTCTTATATTTATATAATACTTCATATTTTAACTACATTGTCACCCACTGTATCTCTGATATCATCTTTCTATTTCTTTATCAGACAACTTTTTCATATTTGATATCTACTTATATTCATTTATTTTATTTTCACCATGTTTTGTATCTTTTGTAGCCCTGATGAAGACCTGCAAAATGAGTCGAAACGTCGGCAAAAAAAATTAAGTAATAGTATTTGTATAATTTAGTATTTATTTGACCGTACCCCCCGATCAACTCCTTCTCATATTATATCACGGTCAACCATCTCTATATCATTAAAAAAAATTAAGTGTGCATACTGGATATTATTTTTGAAATATCAATATATATGTAGCACGATGTAGAGGAATGCTCACTGGTATCGAGACCGGAGGCTGGAAGAAGAGAAATAAAAAGAGCTGAAACAGTAAAATGCTAAAAGGGCGAGCTCCCAGGGGCTGCAAAAGAAGGATCGTGAGTAAACAGCGGACCGTAGCCTGCCCCCATTGGCTATTAGCGGGGCTTTGCGACCCTGCAAATTGTTTGCCTCCTCAGCTAGCCACAACATCTCCTCTTTATGAGATCGTAAACAGCTTGTTTAACTTATCTCCTTCGCGCCTCCTCCGGTCGTCTTCTTGTTGCGTGTAGTTCTTGTTGGAGGATGTGTCCGGTCGGAGGAAGAGTTGTAGTAATAGAGTCCACGGGATGGGGCCCCCTTGTACAGAAAGGACTATTCTTAGGAAAATAACCAAGCTACTCTTATAATCTAAAAAGGATAGTCTTTTGATAAAAAGGTTTGAATGTGAATTACAAAATGGTATGTTGTTCTTAGGAAATTAGCCTTTTCTGCCATTCCTGGTCGTTGCTCTCAAAAATGGTAACTAATTTAAAGAGTTTTGAAACCTCCCAATTTTTTTGATGACTTAAAATTGTTGAAGGAATTTAAGGATCGAAATTACGATTATTCACGTCTCCATGAAATTCCTTTTCGTTAGATACATTGAACAAGGTAACAATCCAAAATCTATCGCTGCCGGTAGCTGGAAAAGGGATGGAGCTATACTACCATATTATAAATTATTATTATATATATATATATATGTATAAATTATTTATAATTATTTATATATATAAATAAATATATATATAAATATAAATAGAAAATAAACTTTATTCTGGGACGATGTCCCTTACAATAACAATAATGAACCGTTCAATTCAAACAATATATACAACTTCAATACTAGTATGTAATAATAATAATAAAAGGCTTAGCGAACCCGATGGTTCGATGCCGACACCACCAATCGCTTATTACACATCTCTCTCCACCGTTCGCCGTCCAAATCCAGTCCCTTCAAATCGGCTTTAATGCATTCTTCGGTTCCATTCAACCACCTTCGCTCCGCCGTTTATCATTCGGCACAGCAAATATTAACCTTTTGGGAATTCTCTCGTTACTAAGCCCGACAATTTTACTAGCCCGTTTGATTCGCCGGGATGAGATCATTTCAATTATATTACCCGGATATAGTTCACGCATTTCGGCGTTTTGTGGCCGTCTGAACTCTCCCGTTAATTCATCCTTCTTCGGTCCTAATATTCTACGCAATACTTTATTTTCAAAAACATTAAGACTTTGCTCATCCCTTAATGTAAGCGGCCACGTTTAGCATCCATAAAGAACTGTAGGTAAGACAATGGTTTTATAGATTCTAATTTTTAAGTTCCGGGACAAAAGGCGTGAGCTAAGTAGTTTTGTCACAGAAAAATAACAAGATTTTCTCGCCTTCAGTCTAACCTTAATCTCTTCTTAGATTTCGTTGTTTCTAGTTATCGTAGAACTTAGATACCTAAATTTCTCTACCTGTTCAAACATATTACCATCTATATCGATATCACCAGTAGTATCGCCATTTTTGCAGCTAACCATATATTTTGTTTTGTAAAAAGAAAACAAATAAATACTAGTATGTAAATAAATAAAAAATAAAATCTTCTCAACGATACTTATAATTGTACTGGAAAAATAACAAAAAGAAAAGAAAAGAGAGAGAGAGAAAGAAAGAATTACATGTATAGAAAGAAAAAGCAAAACCTCCCGAAAAGAAAAAAATATCAAAAGTATGTAAATAAAAAGTATTGACTTGTTATGTTAAAACCCAAACAGCTAAAACATACACAATATATAGATAGATTAAAAATATATTAATGAAAGAAGATGGGCAACATATAAATATATATATATATGTTTTCCCATTTTAAAGCAAGATTTAAATTAAAAACAAAACACAGTTCTTTCTTCTTGTGTTTCCTCTTTTTTTGTCAATTTAACAGCTGATAGATATTTAGATAGTGGTAGAAAATTTCGCACAAAAGAAGGTCGAATAATTATTTAACTTAAATCAACTGTGAAGAGAGTGGTTCAGAAAGTCAAGCAGACTGGACCAAATGCTGATGATAAACACCGTAATCGTCCAAAAACAAGCAGCTAATTTGTCAATATCGAACCTATACAAGTAGCCACAAGACTTTCATTATTTTTAAAATATCGGTCAACATCACTGAGTGTTTAACATCATCAATTGATCCAGACTTCTTGACTTTCTCAACCACTCTTTTCACAGTTGATGAAGTTAAATAATTATTCTACCTTCTTTTGTACGAAATTTTCGAACTGTGATCACAAGACTTTCATTATTTTAAAAATATTTTTCAACAATGAAAACACATTGTTAGCTCGTATAACGCTTCATTTTTATTAACTCTGAACTATCAGCTGTTAAATTGACAAATAAAAAAGAAACAAAAGAAGAAAGAACTGTGTTTTGTATTTAATTAAATCTTGCATTAATTTTTGGACACCCATATACGTTTTTTTGTTTTGTTTTGGAAGAACTAGTAATACATTACGTTTGAAGAAATGATCTAAGCCATGAGCTATGCGCGGGAACTACATAACTACTGTTTCTAAGAAACCAATTTATTCCTCCTGTATATTTTTGCATCCTTTACTAAATCATAATGGACTGAGATTACCCGTTCGAATTCTTACCAATATTTATTTAGTCCTGCGAATAGCCAAAGCGAGAACCAATCTTCGTTGTTGTTTCTATAATGCTGCAAATGGCCGACAGCAGTACCCTGAGGAAACCGAAGCATCAATCTTATAAGCGCTGAAACGTGAGTTAGCGTTAGGACTGTCGGAGTACCTCTGATGGCTTCGATGGCTGTTACTGTTCCCGCCATGCTTTCTCTGACGTTCGTGAAGACGCGGTCACAGAGACCGGTGCCTTCCGTGGCCATTATTGACCCACCTCTGGCAATAACTCATATAGCTCAGGACGAGCACTTAAGCTCATTAGTAAAGGCTAGGAATCCTCCCGAGATAAGACCATAAAGTAGACGGGAGGATATATGGCCTTCGTGAGGACGGGCTCTATAATTTCTGCTGCTGATTTGTGTCAGCTCAAATATTTGTTCTGACTCTATCTGGTTGTAGAGTGGAGATGTATTCGTTCTATTATCGACACTCTCATCGCTCTGTTGGTTTTGTTCCTCTAATGACCACTTTAGGCCATTACTAAATCATCTTTGGATTAGCCATCCGGTCTGCGCAGTATATTCTCCACCTTTCCAAACCACAATCGGTTTTTTTTTATTTTTTTTTATTTTGGATTGTAAAGGCTCGAAGCTACAACTCATAAGTAAGATAAAGATTGGATAATGTTGTTCCATGTTTTCCCTAGTAAGCTTATTCAATAGTTCACGTTGATCAGTTCAACGTATAACCAACTTCAGGGACTTCCTTCTTAATATTTTTATTTATTTATTATTCTTTTTACTGCGGTAATTTATTTATAAGATATTGATAAGATTGAGAACTAAGCATTCTATTGTTGCCCCTTTCTTGGTCAATCCTGTTATTTTATTTGTTTCCCGATTTCAATCATGAGTACAATAGATCAGAACTACCCTCCTTCCTTTACTTTTTCAATAGATTTTTAGATATTCTTAGTCTATCCCTTCTTCCAGAAGACCACTAGCGGATCCAGGATTTAGTTTTGGAGGGGCTTCAGCCCGACAATTTTTATTTTTTCATATATATATATATAACGATAATTAATTTGAAAAAAAAGAAATTAATTAATTATCTATATGAAATGGTGTTTAAGTGGTTCTTCAAGTCCTATTAAACGTAATTATACCAACAAGAATACTTTAAGAGATAGTATAAAGTATTTTTTTCTGTAAAATATAGTTAAATTTTACCATTTTGGGGGGGCTTCAGCCCGAAAGCCCCCCCCCCCCGTAGATCCGCCTGTGCAGAAGACTATACTTCCTAGACAAATTCCTTTATCAAATAATCAACAACCATCCCCCGTTCTATATCTACATTCTTCTATAATTCAAGCCCTCCATAAACTCCATCTTTACAAAATCTCGATCCTCTGACCTCTTTACCCCTTTTCATAGACCTACCTCATTCCTAACTCCTTGCTTGCTCGCTCCAACACTTTTGGAATAGTTGAGCTGACTCTTAGTGATTATAATTTATTAAGTAGTAATAATTATTTATCATAGTCATAATTCTATCTCTCTTAAAATTCGCCTCGGCCCCTCCTTTCCCAGTTTCTTTTTACAACAGAATCAAACGCTGGCTAAGTATTGTACTATATAATAAGGATTTATTTTTCTTTATACCTGCTTTTTGTAAGTAGTATGAAAATATATTTAATTTTACTTTGTACAGCTTTTTTTAGTTTAGAGTTATAGTTAGTGTTTATGTCTATTTATTTATCACATCTTCTAAATAATTATGTTTAGTTATTTATACATCTTTTAGACAACAGAAGCTACTATTTATGTATATATATTTTTCTCTGTTAATTAAGAATGTTTGTTTATATAAATTAATTTACTTAACCATTTCTGTATCATTCTATTTACAATCTTATTTCACCTTTTCTCATTTATTTTTAATATATTTATTATCTTTATTTTATTTTTTATTTTATACCCATGTATATATGTAGATATTTATTTTAATTTCTGCATAATTAATCGGTCTTATGGCCAGAAGTAATCTTCATTTATGTTTCTCTTGTTATTCTTAAAGGACGTGATCACAGAATAAAGTTGATTTTTCTAATTTATAATATAAAAAATTTAATTATTTCAATTTTAAATAACCTGAACAATGCGTAATGACAACCATTGCTAACTAGCAGCGTTTTCACAAATATTACGATTTATCTGAAACAGTTTTTTTTTTTCAGGGGTTTAACACTCATAGGATAATTATAGTAAATTCTGGTTGTTCAAATCAAAATATTTAAAAGAAAATCTGTTCTGTTTGGAACTGTAGACTTACCAAAGTCGTTTGTATAAAACATTCATTACATTCAAATATTTTTCATTATAGTCCGTGGTACAACCTTTTTTTTTTTTTATCAAATTATTAACATCCTCCTGAATCTTCGTAAATATGCTTCATCTCATCGTAACCTACAACTATTTTACCTAATTCTTAGGATTGGAATATTTTCCATCTGGAGATCGGCAAACTGTGTCTATTTAATTATGTGGTAAAAACTCATAAATATTCATTTGCTTTACACTTGATAGCAAAATAGAGAAAAAAAGGTATCCTACAAAAATATTGGGCTGTTTGGCAATACCTTCATCCCAACATTTCAAAATAACGACGTTATAAAGGCCAAACGGCCCAATATTTTTGTTGGTCCTATTTTTTCTTGATTTTGTGTTTAAATTATCTTACGATCCAAGTGGAAAGCAAATGGGTATTTACGAGTCTTTACTACCAATTAGATAGACATTCCAATTCCAAGAGTTTTCGTAAATAAAATGGTTGTGGATTATATGAGATGAAGCTATTCACGAAGTTTCAGACGGATGTTAATAATTTGATAAAAAGAGGTCTGTACGACGGATTAATTATGTCGTTGTATAAATTTAGGTATTTAAATTAGAATTCCTCACTTTTCCATGAAATTTACTTTGTTTTGTCATCTCGTTTCTACAAATCCATCGCTCCTGAGAGCCGAAAAAAAGTTCAACACTAATAGTGTAAATTTTAAAACTTTTTATTTACCTGTTATACAAGGGTGAAAATTTGATAAAGACATGATATGCCCGATTTTAGTTAACCTGCCCGTATATTTAATAGAGAATTTTGAAATTTACCACTCTTATTATAATTATCAGTTTTAATGGTTGGGTGCTATAGAGATTGTAATTAATATAGCTAAAAGTGACAGTAAAGGATCCTGAGAGGAATCCTTATGGACCTTCTTGGAAGGAAGATGGGAGGCGCCTGTGGAGCTGGGAGGAAAGGATCTTCTATTAATTATGTGGACCGCCGGACTACCTGCCGTAGCCGCTAATATCTTTTGTTCTAAGGCTCGTTTAGCTCTGATGGATCGCTTCGAAGAAAAAAAAACAAAAATAATAACAGGCACAAAAAGAAACAAACTCCTATTTCAAAAATTGACTAATTTATTTCGAATTAACCGTCATTTACTAATAGCCCTAAGGCCTAACAAAAAATACTATTTAGGCAACAGATTCGTCAATTAATGTGGATCACCTTTTGCTACCTGTTGTAGGTTCTCCTTCTCTGTACCTAACCCTTTGAGCCACCTTTCGTAATTACACGATTTATTTTGAAATACTTTAACATTCCTTAATGGTGGCTTGAATATTGTAAAGCTGTGTTGAGAATATTGTAAAAGCATGAATATTAATAATAAAAATGATTAAAAAAAAAAACACTTCAGAAACAACCTTATGCATTCTAAAGGAAAAATATGATTGGGTCATTAAAAAAAAAAAAAAAAAAAAATCGGAGGTGTGTGCTTTAGACCACACGATAGAAGTGAAAACGTCAACAAAGCAGGATTAAAAATATGAAATATAAATAATAAATAATAGCTCATTATAAAGAGGAATAAATGTTTAACATTTCCATCGCTTTCAATATACAGGTTCAGTTTTTAGTTTCTAAGATATTTTAATCCATATCTTCCAAAAAACTCATTATAATTTGGTTTTCGACAATATTTTTTTCTTTCCGCCTATTTATCACAGCGTCGCATTAGAAACAATTTTGATTAATAGCCCATTACAGAGAGGACGAAATGCTCAATAATTCCCTGGCTTACAGTATACAGATCTGATTTTATTTCTATGATATTTTAATCCATATCTTCAATAAAACTCGTTATCATTTAGTTATCGACACTATTTTATCTTTTCGCCTCCATAATAGCGCGTCGCGTTAAGACATAATTATGAACAATAGCTTATTACAAAGAGGATAAAATGATGAACATTTCCCTCACAAACAATATGTCCAATTTTTAGTTTTTGAGATATTTTAATCCATTTAACTCCAGCCGACTTTATTCAAGTGTTACACATCGGAAATCTGACGGCTAAGTCTAATTCAGTCTCCATAAAAAAGTGCATTATGCGCCTAAAAAAAATTCACTTTAAAAATCTCCGTTCGATGTTCTAATGTTTAAAAAAATTAAATCTCTTTGGTTCGTTATTGTTGCCAGTTGAAAATGCTATAAATATGATACAAATTAATAGTTTTTAGCTTTTATTTAATAGTAAACAAAAGTAATTCTCATGAATGTCACGGTTCATTGCTAAATATATATTTTTACAACTTTCATATCTATAAAAAGTGTTAATGAGATATATAAAAATGCCATATATTTTTTATGCTCTATATTCATACACTATAGAACAGGTTTCGCTCATTAGGCATCTAAATTTTTCAAAATAATTAGAACAAAATATGGGTCATGAACGTCATGGCCATTATCAAATATTTTTTTCTATTTGAAAAGATGGAAAGAACTTCTATTACACACTCAGGGGTCAAATATTTATCTCCAGTTTCCTGGGATAAAGTAACTTGATGACGCTGTATCATTTTTATCATACTCCATCCAATTCTTGCGCCTACGTTAATATAATTTGAAATTACAGAAAATATAATAAAACATTTTTATTATTTTAAACTTGAGTTATTTTAAAATATTCATGAAATATCATTGAGTAATTCGGAATATTATTCTTAAAAATCGATCCAGCCATACATTTTTGCCAGCTAAAAATATATGATTTTCTAATTAAAAGTATAAGTTGTGTATTTAAAACATGATATATTTTTTAACTTTGATTAGTTGTCCGATATATAGGAATTTCATTCAATATTTTGGCTCTAGTAGTTATTCCTAAAAAAGTTAAATAGATAATAATTTGATTGTTTATGTAAACATAAACTTTACGTTTTATTTATTGAAAAATACCTCAAGTACCATACTACTATTTACAAATGAAAAAAATCACAAAAGAAACAGACGCAATAAATATTAAAATAAATATTTTATTTATTTACTCTTTATTTCATTATTTACTAACAAATGACTGAAATAAAATCGCAGAATTAAGAAAAAAAAAATCACTGAAATTACATCTACAGGACTTGAACTGAGGACCTCCGAATAAAACAAGTTTTATACTGAATAAATTAAATAACAGTTAGCATTTTTTTTCCGTTCTTAAAGTAATTAAAAAATAAATAAACTTAAAACATAAATTGAAAAGAAAGATTGTTTATCTACAATACTTCTG